CAGACAAGAAGGGAACAGTGTCAAGATATGGCCCCTAATGACTCACTTCCAGGGCCTATTCCTTTCAATGAGACTTCACCTCATAAGAGCCCATTCAGCTACAAACAGTGGTTTAATCTACTGATGAGATTTATGCACTCATGATCCAACCACCTTCCAAAAGCCTATCTGCTCGACTTTAGGGAATATTTTAGATTTAAACCATAAAGAATTCTTAAAATCAATCAACTCTTTCATGGATCTTTTAGAATTGGAGTTAAATGAAGAGTAATTTGTGCTCTAATTGAAGCATGGGCTACAGAGCTTTAGTTACTAGTCAGTGAGAAGGCCAGGAAGAATCAAAGTAGAATCCAGGTATGTGATATTTTAGGATTCCTTCAGCAAAATTCTCTCTTGGCTAACATTTGTTCTACTTAGGCTATCATTAAGACTAAAAATACCCTAACATGGAGTTGCAAGGAAGGAGATATCTTCTGGAAATGCAGTGTCCACTATTCTAAGTATTACTGTCCTCACATCTAGGACCTGTGACAGAGAACAGTGTCCACTAAAAGATGCCTAAGGTGTGTTTCAAATATGAAGAGACAAGACATTAGAAAATTAGGACTGTAGGAAAACTTCAACTTACCTAAAATAAGAAAATACAATAAAGAAACAAAGAAAAAAAAAGAGGCAAGAAGGACTATGGACTCAAACTGTTGGGTAGTGCTAAAAAGATATAGGAAAGAGAAGAATTACCTAGCTAATGTTCTTTTTGTTTTTTAAGGTAGTCTCACTATGCTGCCCAAGTAACCTTCCCACTTCAGCCTCCCAAGCAGCAGGACTACAGGTACATACATCATGCCAGGCTAAAGTTCGCTGGAAAGTGAGCATCCCCTGAGCTGAGTGGAGATTAAAAACAAAACAAGTAGAGTCCTGCTAAGCAAAGAACAAATCTTTCCTTTGTGGGTGGCACAGTGTGGTGTGCTGTCTGCCTACGACCTCATTTAATGACCACTAAGGAAGTGTACTACATTGTTCATGAGTTGTCATTAAAACTCTAGTATGGCCAGAGCTGGCATTCCCACCTTTGGAAGAGGGAACACCGCACATGGGTCACTCCCATGTTGTCAACCACAGGACAGGCTGCACATCAGGCAAATGTGAAAGTCCTCTCAAGTCACGGAGCAACACTGATGAAACAAGAATGACAGAACTACCTGCCCATGTTTGGAATAGATTTTTAATTACTAGTTTCTAGGTTATGCCTTCATTTGTGTAAATCCCATTATTCTATGGCCTACACAGTTAAACAAAATACTTTATAGCACTTTTCCCAAACAGTAAAATCCTTGCACCAAAAGAAAAAAAGTGCCTGGTACCACCTGTGCAATGTCGACAGACTGAAACACTTAAGCAAGCAGCAAGTACAGGAGTACAGAGGGCAGGCAGCAGCAGAGTCAGTGTCAGACACAACTTCTATTTGTGCTAAGTGCCTTTGGGTTTGAACTGCAGCAATGAGGTAACGAGACTGACACCATACAGCAAAAATGAACACTGATCACATCATTTTGTAGCTATACCTGGTGGTATATTTATAAAATATTTCTTTCACAAGTTACAACATTATCTACTACAGTGAGATTTTGGTAAAATCAACTGAAAAGAGTTCTTTGTTCATATAACATTTGTTGTAAAAATTCCAGAAACACATGAGTCTAAGTTTCAAATGACAATTCCCACAGTAACTGTAACTCTGCCCTACAACATACATAATGGTAGAAACGCTATCAACATACACTGTTGGAGAAAATACCCACTAAGCAGAAACAACCTGAGTTATGCTTGCTGAGGGAGCTATCACTTTCAACTAGCTGAGAATACATAAGAATTGAAACCATAAATGCATGCATTATTTTTTCTCTTAATTCTAATTTTCCTGATCCAATTCAATGTTTTGCATCTAAATTCCGTTTTCTTCCCATAAACTGCAAATATCTGTCTTTTATAATTTTAAGTCCACATCTTTTAGTTTCTTTCTCTCACAGGACTGCCTTTGCAGGATTGCATCAGTATACCCTGGACCCTCCCTGTCAGAAGCATCTGCTGGGATCCACTCATCCACATTTTTTCACTCTGAAGAACACTAGGGAGAGCAGCTCAGTGGGTTACAGTGTACTACTATTATGGACTACTGGACTATATTGGACTATTTTGCTAAATTCATGCGTTTAAAATATGTAAATGGCAATGGAATACCCACCTCTGACAAAACTAAACAAAAAAGGGGGATATAAATGAAGGACAATTTTGTATCTGTATATACAAAATTGTTAAGGATAGACATACAGCTATTTTCTCTTAATGCAATGAGAAGATAGATTTGTACTAATAGTATTTGGACAAGACATCATGTCTGCATCTTGTACTATGAATACTACAAAGACAACAATATGCAATGCATTAATTATTGTAACCCCCTTTTTTGTTTAGTTTTGTCAGAGATGGGTATTCCATTGCCATTTACATATTTTAAACGCATGAATTTAGCAAAATAGTCCAATATAGTCCAGTAGTCCATAATAGTAGTACACTATAACCCACTGAGCTGCTCCCCCTAGTGTTCTTCAGAGTGGAAAAATGTGGATGAGTGGATCCCAGCAGATGCTTCTAACCTGTTTTGAAACTGTCTCATTGCTATGTTTATAAATAATAATAATAAAACCCAAATATATAATGTCAAAAAAATTTAAAATGCCTGCAAGCAAGCACAGGGGCCGGAGTTTTGATCTCTCAGCCTGACATGCAGGCCCCACCCCCAGGGGCCCGCTGAGACAGCAATTGAGACTGGGCGTGATGGCGTGCACCTGTAATCCCAGCTGTTGGGAAGCTGTAAACAGGCGGATGACAAGTCCAATCTAGTAGTGAGAACCTGAACACCCCGTAGACTCTTCCCCCCAAAAAATAAAAGGAATACAGAGAACAGGAATCACATTGAATAGTTTAAAAAACGTAACAAAGTGTAACAGAAGAGTAACACACCATTAACTACCTTCTCCTTGGTATTTTCCTAGGCAGAAACAAGAACAATAGCACCATATATTTACAATTTCCAAAATATTAAGTTATAACAGTATCTCATTTCATTCTCACCCTGGCACTGTGAGGAAAGAAAAAAGGAAAGAAAAAGAAAACATTTCTTCATTGTTCAGCCCTTGTGACTCAAGTCGAATATATTAAAGAATGTGCTTTCATATTATCATTCAAAGTTTGGGCCATTTAATTGTACTTAAAGATTTTCAAAATATATTCATTTATACATGGAGAAGATTTACATATTATTGAAGACAGAATATACTTTCTGTGAAAAAGATTATGGTCATGAGCTAAACTTTGACATATTTTGAGCTTTCCACTTTAACTATATTCTGAAAATTCAATAGTGAAAGAGAAAAAATAATTGCCCTTTGAAACTCAACGTAGACAAAATTAATCCTGTATGTTATATCCAGTATTACTTTTCCCAGTTTGGTTTTAACTAAGAAGGGCACCTTCTACAACCTCAGAAGAATCTTCTTACTTTCCAGCAGTCTGCACCATCAGGTTATGTTTCATTATATTCAAACTAAATTACTTTGGCTCGGGAACAATCATAACTCCTCTGCCACTCTAAATCCTACCATGCTCCACCCTACCATCGTGTTCTGACCTTGTGCAAGTGTCTGCAGAGCGACAGGGTCAAGCTTCTTTGTTTCTGAGCACTGCTGTGTAAGGGTATACAAATTTTAAGTTGTTTCTCCTCTTTTCTCTGTATTAAGTAAAATTTTCCTTCTTCATTTATATTGTCCACCAGTAGAAAGATCAGTTAAAATAAAGACGCCAAGCTGGCCCAAACCCTCAAAATCATCTGTTTTAAATGGAGAGATAACACAAATCAATCCTTTGCTTATGAAAGTATGAAAATCTTGCATGACGAAAGGACAATGTTTTAAGTGATAAAAGTAAACAAATACCAGGGACTATTAACTTCAAAAGGTTTTCTGTACAAAGTTAACTTCTTAATGTTACCTGGAATTATAAAGCAGATCTCTGCAATGAAAAACAATGAACTCGTACATGAAGGTGTCCTCTGAGTCATGAACACTGAATCTGCAGGCATTTCCCTAACTTAAACACCAGGATCTGAAAAGAATACCTGGATTGATCACAAAGCTCAATATCAACACTATTTCCAGTCCTGAGGAAGATGTAAAGATGGATGGTAGGCTAAAAAAATCAGTGACAGGGATGTAAGCTCTTGTATGTCATTAAAGATCAGGAACACACCGATTGCCTTCCATGATACCGCAATCACACATGAAGGCAATGCCATGCAGGCCATCCACTTTATGGGAGTGTCCTCAGAGAAAGTGTAGGTCCAACCTGGGGGCAAGTTGTATCTTAAACTGAATGTAACAAAATCCTTATTGGCTCTCTCTTTCAAGGAGGAAACTGAAGAGAAAGTGATCAATTCTAGTGGATCACAGAATGGAAATAAAAAATAGTACTTTGAGTTTCTCTGAGCAGTCAATATTGAGTAATTCTCAATGACCTAACGCTTTCCAGATAGTGACAAATAAAGTTCTTGAAACTGTCAGCATCATAGATTAAGAAACAACTTTTTATCTTCACTTATACTTAAAGCTGCAGAATATCATGGGTGATTGACAGAAATATTAAAATTTATTAGAGAATGAGCCAAAATAAAACACTGAAAACAAGTATGTGGTTAAATAACAGAAGAATACTAAATGAATTATACATTCATACAATGGATATTCTGCAGTCACTCAATGCATTGAAAATATCCAAGGAAGGGAAAAGGTTGATAATACAAAATGAAAAGGAAGGTCAGAAAATGTTAGATTTTGGATGATTTTCATTTTGAGGAAAACCTGTATATAAATAAAAACATTTGAAGGACATACACAAAATTATTAACAGAAGTTACCTCTTTCAGTGAGAAGTTAATGTCTTCATGAGTTTTTTCTTTTGCAAATGAAAAGAGAATGAGGGAAAGCTGCTGTTTTCAAAAATAAGCCATCGCTATATTCAGGTCTCTTTATTCCATTTTAGTACAACACACAAAATGAAAACTTGAAAATATTTAGTGGCCAATAAGTACTTGCATTAACCATTCATTTATTTATGCTATAAACTGTGCAGTTTGTTAAAATTTAATTCCCTTATATTATCCCCCAAATTTATATGAGAGTAATGTACTTGTAAAAACACACAACATAAATTTGTGTCCAAGGTTAAAATCTTCCATATATTCTTCAGACATCTTTGAGTCTAAAAAATGAACTTCATATGCTTGATTCCATATGTTTTAAAAAAGACCATGAGAATGAGCGCCCACAGACCCAGAATGAAGCCCCCCGGTGGGTGCCAGTCTTTCAGTTTTGGTTTCTGCAAAACAAGAAAACACAGTGAATTTAACAAAAGGCAAACAATTCATCAATCAGTAAAGCAAATATTGAAAGAACAGAGAGATTTCACTGGTTATATTCTAAGGAGGAGTACCTTTAGTCAAATTAAATGGAATAACAATGATAAGGACCCAAACAGGGTAAATAACTGCTCCTATTGAAGATCAGTGTTAGCTCACATTTTTTTTCTTCACTGGTTGCCTGCCCAAACCAACCGTCTCTTCACCGAGTTCCACGTAGAGAACAAGTGCAGATGAGTTTTATGTTAATTGTATTAAAATTTTTCAGAAACAATTTTTTTAAAACTTAATTGTGGTGGAACTGGGAGAAGGCTCAGTGGAATAAGAACCTCCCTAAATGATTCTGTAGCCTAACAGGGCTTTTCACTGGGCATTCATATATTCATGAGTTTTTCCATCTTACCTGTCTTTATTAAACTATAGCTCTACTAGGGCCATCTTGTTCTGTTCCCTGCACTGGACCTGCCACAGTACCCACCACTAGGGGACACTCACCCATCACACTGAAAAAGTCACTGAAGAACAAATACTACTCAACCCCAGTCATTCATTCAGAAATTCAGCGATCGCTTGGTGGGGAGCCAGTGTTTCCGGTCTGTCTCTTCTCTCTTGACATAGAATCTTCCATACCCCTCCGTGCCTTCAAAACTTGTTCATTCAATCAGTGCCAACTCCTTCAGATTTTCCCAACTGAATTTTTTTTTTTTTGTTTTAATTCATATCTTTACTACTTCAACTGTTCTCTTCATTAAACTTGCTAAAGTCAAAGTCCATCTGGGCCCAGTTTTACACACCCTTCTCCAGTCTTGTGTGTTTCTCTGTCCAGCAAAGACCAGTCTTCCCAGGTTTATCTGTTATTATGGCACTGCAGCTAGAGTCTTGTGACCATGCCTGCTTTATGAGTCTATTCACTGAATTCCTGAGACTGTAATGGTTATGATATAGGAATCAACTTTTATCAATTCAAAATTAACTTGTCAGACTAAAAGGAGAGAATTTTTAATTTGGATCCCAATGTTAAAAGTTTTAGGGACTTTTAAGCAAATATATACTAAGAACTGAACTGAACTGACAACATTGTTTCCATCAATGACATGCCTGCTTCACTCCATTGCCTATGCTCACCTTCCACCACCCCCCCTAGAAAACGCTCCAAAATATCCTTCAAAAATATTAAACTCAATTTTCCTCATGTTTCTTTCCAGTAAAGTCTGCAGTCTGCTGGTCCTACGTGAGATGAGGATGATGACTGAAGTGCTTGCCCTCTAGAACCTTACAAAATGCCAGACGCAACATTTCTCAAAGCATTCAAGTATCAGAGACCTTGGAAGTCACAGTGCTCTCTGTGCAAAACTAGCAAATCTTAAATTAACACAAGGCACAGTTACATGAGATAATGTAAATATAATCATCATAACCACGTGCCAAAGAGAAAATAAGCACATGAACTAAACATGATAATTACCCGTTTTTTCCTTGTCTAGCCCTACCAGTTAAACAATGAGTGAAGAAAAAGGCTGAAAAAGACCAAAAACCACTTTTCCACAGATTAAAAAAAGATAATGACTACACATTATTAGTCAAAGCTGTGTACCTTTATACTATAGCCTGCAGATGTTGCCGGGCAGCTTAGTTTAAGAACTATGACCTAGTTAGGGAGATGAATTTCTGATTTTCCCTAACTAAAAGTCCAAATTACATGAGATTTGAGCACACACACACACACACACACACACACACACACACACACAAACTACAATAGTAAAATTAATTAAGTACTGTCAAAATGCATTCAGGTAAACTCTTAACTGCCAACAGGCTGTAGACAATTTTTCTATAAACCAAATTAATGAGCTTCAGTGCTAAAAGAGTTCAGGAGGTATTTGAATCAAACCATGTTTAAAGAAAAAGGTGAAAATCATTTAAGCTCTATCATGAGATTATAGAGCTATTAATCAAGTAGTGAACAGCAAATTGTACTTCTACAGCTGCAGAAATTCTAGTTACTTTTCAATGAGATGGATTCCCTGAGGTTGTAATTTTACCATTTGATCTTAAACAGCCAGAAATATCTGCCAGAGATAAGACAAGGAAAGAAAAGCAGCACCTTTGGAAGAAACTACTGCTCCTCCAAAGTGCTAACAGCGAGCCCTGGGATCGTGCAGAGCCGAGACGTGCTCTGCCTGGTCCTCAGCCTCGCCAGCCGCCTTTCTCCCACTCAGACCAACACCCAGTGGAGGAACAGAGAGCGGCAAACTGCTAGAGCCATGCTTCTCAGGAGCAGTCTCGGCCAGTAATAACGGAGGACTAAGAAATAGGTGTAATCATAAAATCATGACAGAATGCTGCATTTATTCACATTGTGATAACACTGCACAAGCCAAAGAGGCAGCTGATCTTAGAGTTTCAAAAACTGTTTTCAGCTGCTACAGTTTTGTTATACATTCATTACATCCTTTTGAGTCACAAAAATGGAAAATGCATTAATTAAGTGTACTCTGGGCTCAGCTTAAGAAGGCACCTGAATCGAATCCCCCATCACAGCCTCTCCACATTTCTCACAACAATCCAAAAAAAAAAAAAAAAAAAAAAAAAAAAAAAAACACAAACCTTAAAAAAAAAGACAACTACAACTACACACACCTTACCAAGATGAAGCTCCCCTCTGCTGAGAAACCCCAGAACCTTCACTGTCTGCAGTCCTAGAAATAAGCTCTACCACCACAGTCACAGTGCCAGTCTTCTGATTGTTCCATACCAGCCAAATGACAGCTCTGCTCTGGGAAACACAGTAATTCTGCTATGGAGAGAGAGAATACCTTGGTCCCTTTTGCCTCCTGCTGTTTAGTAGACCCAGTGTTTGAACAGTACGACAGGCTTAGGAGGCAGTGGGAGCTGTGCAGCTTACTCCAACCTCTTGGGGGCACCCTGCTTAACGCATGCCTTCAAATAGCATCCAGTTAATGATATTATTGGGGTGGGGGATGTCACTGAAAAGGGCTCACCATATCCTAGAAAAGACAATGTCTACATGAAAAGCGCCACAGACAGGGGGAAGTACAGGGGCAACTTTACAGGTAGTGTATGTTATGAAATACTGTTTTCCCACATTCCATCTTTTTTTTTTCTTTTTAAGTGCTCTCAAACCAGGTTTGAGTGGGAAGGTAGCATATGATGCTGGCTTAGTTCAGCAAAGTCACATTTGATGGCCAGCTGCCAATCACTGGGACAGCATGCCAACCTACCTGATGCAGACTGAAGAGGACATTCATAACTAGACAGTATGAAGCACCCACACACTCTACTAGCAAATACCAAGAACATCCGAAGAAAAAGCGAAAACCAAGGTGAACTCTGTGAGGAAAAACATCTCCATACATGAGAAGTTATAACCTAATAATGCAGAGACGATATATCTGAATAAAATGAAATAAGCAACCAAACTATAATTTTAGAAAAAAATTTTGGGAGCATGGATTCAAATAATGATATACAAGCAACCAAAAATTTAAGAATAATATAAAGAAAAAAGAATACAAGATACAAAGACATATCTGAGATAAGAAGGCAGCTGGGTAATCTCATGGTGTGATCTCAGCACATCTTTGCATCTCTCCTCCTCTCAACTATGTCAGTTTGATGGCAAACAAGGCCCCAGCCCTCCATGCTCTGTGTCCACAACCCTGCCAGGTAGCTTGTACCAGCTAACATCAGGAGATAGAGTCATAACCCCAACCCTGAATCAACTGATCTAGTAGTTCCTTTTGGCTATCAAAACACGAGCCAAGTATCAGTTCAGTTTCAGGTGCTTGCCTCTGCTACTTTTGTGAGAACAAGCTGAGGCTTCTAGAAGAAGCAGCATCTTTTTTTTTTTTTCTAAATCTCTTATTTATATATTTGGTACACAGTCTCGCTATGCAGCTCAGACTCATAGTGACCCTTCTGTCTCAGCCTCCCCAGCAATGGGATTACAGCCATGTGCCACCATGCCCAGTTTCCATGGACAGCATGGCAGGCCCAGGGTTCTGGTCTGACACAGCATGTGGTACCACGAATCAAACCTAGGTCCTTGCACTTGCCAGGCAGGCACTTAGACCACGAATCTATCACTACAGCCCAAGGAGCAGCATCTTATGGACAAGAACTGAGGTCCTTCTAGCCAACAACCAGCCAGTTCCCAGCAAGACCACCTAACTCACTCAATGCTGACTACAGACTCAAGGTGAAAACAGCTAAGAACAAAAGAACTGCTCAGCTAAACCCAGTCTAAACGCTAACCTACAGAATTACGAACTAAACAAATCAGTGATGTTTTAAGTTTTGGCATGGTTTGTTGCACCCCAAAAGCTCTGAAATATATCCACTAAAGTGGCAATTAATATGCAAGGGAAGGGGCTCGGGGAGATGGCTCAGTGGAATAAGCACTTCCCTGGCAAGTGCAAGGGCCTGAGTTAAAGCCCCAGTTCTGCACAAAAAAAAAAAAGAATATGCAAGGGAAAACTTTGATGCTCAGAATCATAATACAATACAAAGTGCTCTCATCCACATACTGTAGCTTCAGATTTTTGCAACAATGGTAGAAGAACAGTGGGAGGGGCAGCTCAGCAGTGGATCTTTGTCGATTATTAATTTTGTAGGCATGGGGAAGTTTGTGACCCCCTCTGACCTTCCTAGGATAAGAAATCATGCTAACATTCAAAAAGCAAGAACTTCCACAGCTGCCTGTCTCACTTGAACAACATCTGCCACTGGTCTCTAAAGTCACAGGGATACGATGTCAGCTGTGCTGTTTTCCACAGGTAGCTTCACAAATGTTCTCTATTGTTCTCCTCATTGAAAGGCCTCTGCCTGCCGCTCACCACTAGCTCCCCTTACAATCTCCCTGGAGAGAAGAGCCCAGCTGCCACCATGTCAGAAACTCCTCTCAGGAAATAAAGAAGGAAGCTCTGGAGACTTAAGT